ACTCCAGAGTGTTGTTCAGCATGGGGGTGAGTAGAAAATGAAGGCTAATCATGTTTTGGGTGTACTATTCCTTTAAGCCGCTGGGCGATGGAGGGACATCTAGCAGACTTCCAGTGTAATAATAATGAATGTCTTGCAATTAAGGATGTAAAGGCTATAATATCTTTTTGCATTGAATTTAATACCAATGAGGAATCAGTCAGTGGACAAGGCTGCTGATTAACTTTGAGAATAGCAGACATAACTGTGAAGTAGCCAGACCAAAAAGCAGCCAGGACAGGGTAAAAAAAATAACATATGACTAAGATGATACAGAGAATTCCGACACTTATCACATTTGTCTTCAATTTCTGGATAGATTTCACTGAGTCTGGACTTTGAAAAAAGTAGTGATATTTCTAAGGGAATTTTCAGGTAGTTTTAAGGCAGCCATGGATTCAATGGTTGAAACAGCTCTAAAAGTATCTTATTCTATCTTTCAGGAAGAATTAAAACCTTTCCGTTCCTTTAGACTGCGGAAACCAGCGCTAACCTTCTGGCGCCTGAACAGAAACTCTCTGTGGAGCGCGCGTGTGCATGACGAGGAGAATCACTGACACATAAAACATTACAAGTTACAAATGGCTGACTCCCCTACTATCACTGGTAATGTGATTTCACATTAAGTATGATAATGCTGTTCTCATGTTCACAACACTGGCCCTTCTATAATTGATGTTGTTCAGTAGGGAGGCGACTTTGCTCCCAGAGGCAACAGGAGCTGATAACCTTTTCCCCGACGAGATGCTTTAAGTCTTTTCTGAATCCATCAGAGCAAACGCAAATCAGTGATAAGTTGCACTTTGTGCTGCATGAGAAAGTTAATGAGTGCATAAGAGAAACTACAGTTCAGTCGCGCTAACAGAAAGGACAAAAGTGCATCGTTAGAGACTGCAACACAAACAGCAAAAAAAAAGGGTAGAAGTGTGAAATAAGAAAACAGGCCATCAGGGAAGAGACTGTAGCCTCCAGGGACAATTTTACACTCTGCAAGGACAAGCAACTGTGTGAGATGCTCTCACAGTCTGCTGGTGAGCAAAGAGATGGTGTCTGGCTGAGTCAGGTCATTATTTAGATGTCTTTTTAATGGTTCTATAACTCTCTGTGTTTCTAACTTTAAATATGTTGCCTCTCATGCACCCTCCAATCTAATCAGATGGATTTTTTTTTCTCTCCTAGTAGCTCGCTTTGCTGGGCTGCAGAGCTGAAACTGTTGAAATTTATTGTGAAACCAGCTGGTGGGTCATTAGGCCACATCTACTAAGGGGGTCTGTGAATTGAAAGCTTTTCTACTTCAGCGCTTCAGTGCAAGTAAACTTTAAAAAAAACAAAACAACACAATCTGCCCACACATTTCAATTTGGTTCCATTGCTGTTCAGGACATGCAAACGTACCAAATCCAACTGATTCCTCTGCAGTTTTTATGTGATTCTCTGCGGTTTTTAACACTTTCTGGGTGCAGGAGGCCTCAATCAAAGCTCATGCGAATGCCTCTCCCACTAAAGTGGTTATTTTAGTCCTCCCATGCAGAATACAGAACAAAACAGAGCAGTGATCCCTGATTGATCGCTGTGGTAAAGAGTGGCACCATGAGGCTTTAACTGGAACTGCAACAACATGGCTAAACATCAGACTGATAAAGCAGAGTGATCCCAGATGAAACATCTTTTACCTGGAGTTCCAAATTGGATGCAGTTTTCCAGACTTCGCACAAAGTCTGAGTCACTCAGTTTGATGATATGCAGGCTGTTGGCTTTCTCCATGTTTTTCACCCACTTGTTGGCCTGGCCTTGCGGGTCAATCATCAGGGGCCATCGCCTGGCATTCCTGCAAATCAACCAAAGTGTTGTGCTAGAATTTAATGACAGATCAAGTCAAATAGTGTCTAGTTACAAGTGAGAGAAAAGAACATGTAGAACAAAGTTTAGAAATATCTACAATTAAAGTTTTACATGTAAAACCTTGTATATTTTAATTTAAAATCTGCTTCCATATATTAGTTCTGCACTAATTTAGTTAGTCAAACAGCAAAAAGTGACCTCTGATGTGTTCAGTTCCAAAATGGGAAAAAATTACGTAATTATTAGATATGGTAAAAAGTGGATGAATGGATAGATATTAAAAAGTGCAAAAATAAAATAGCACTAAATGTCCCACTGAAAAATAAATGTATCATTTATTTATTTAACACATAATCAAATAATTAAAATTACCATTAAACAATTATCAATAATGTACAGAAGAGGATTAGGGCCACTGAAAAAAAAAAAAAGTTAACTGATTTTTCATTTTTATTTCAGTTTAACATGGGAAAAAAGTCGGAATTCTGACTTTTTTCTTGTCAGAATTCTGACTTTAATCTTAGAATTCTGATATTTTTCTCAGAATTCTAACTTTTTTCTCAGAATTCTGACTGAATTCTGACAATAAAAAAGTCAGAATTCTGACTGAATTCTGACAATAAAAAAGTCAGAATTCTGAGATTAAAGTCAGAATTCTGAGATTAAAGTCAGAATTCTGAGAAAAAAGTCAGAATTCT